AAGGTGCACAATGCTGTTCCCGGGTAGGTTTTGCCCCCAGGTGATAGACACAGCCTTAGGGTTAAAGATCTCCCCAAGACTGACGTCAAGAACCTGTCCTTCTTAGGCCCCATTCCAAGGACAGCCATAGAACAAAGCCATGGAGTCCCTCCAGAAGTTGGCTGATGTGTCCACATAGTGCCAACACAGCTGGAGCAGCCACCTCTTCGGCTACCTCTGCTCAGCTCCACCACGCATGCTGCCATTGAGTTGATTTGGGTTCTTGGCCACCCACGTGTATCAGGGAAGAACTGTGCTCCATACAGTTTTCAATGACTACGATAGTTACACAAATTTGTGTTGGCTTGAAGTGCAGGGGTAGAGTCTAGCCTGTCAGTCAGGTCACAGCCATATGGTGCCTCCCTAGCGTGACCTCCTCATAAGGAGAGTCCTGGGAACCTGCCCCTCTCTTCCTTCACCTTCCTACTGTCAAGTCACTCAGAGAGCAGCCAGAGACACCGCCACTGGATCCACATGACTCTGCCCCCACCGGCTGGTGATCTCCCTTCATTGTGCATCATCACATGTGGCTGCATGAGTCTAAAGAGGGATTTGTGGACTAATGTCAGACTTATGGACTAGTATTAGACTTAGGGAATTGTTCTGGACTTGGCTGGGATGTTTGCTTGATAGATAACTACTTCTTGATATAAAGCTCTTTCGTATACATATATGAGTGTCCTTGGATTTCTTTCTCTGGTCAACCTGTCCTAATACAGGGTCATTTCTATTTTAGGTAGATCACACAGACTTTCTGCGGAGGCACCTCTGGTGGACTTAACCTCCCTCCACTCTTTTGATCAGTACCAAGTGTGTGAACCGTGTGCATCATCACCCAGGATTCACACGATGCCAATGTGACTGGAATCAGAACTGATCATCCTCACCTGCGTTGAGTGTTCTGGGCAGGCTCTTGCCAGGGCAGGATGCAGCCTCCTCTGATGTGAAGGTTGATGTGGTCCAAGGGAGCGGCCAGGTTCTTCCACTCACCTGTCGCGTTCTCGAGCATCCCCTAGAAGTGGGAGGGATAAGAAAAGGAAAGGAGTGTGTCCTGCAGTGGCTGAAAGGGTTGGACAGCGGGCATGGGGTTCCTCACCGCCTCGTCAGCCTCCCAGGACCAGCCGCTTTGCCCACAAAGTGGGAAGGGGGGGTTCTTACCGTGCTGTGGGCATACCACCGGGCCCTGGGGAAGTAAGCCGTTACCATGAAGGTGCCCTGGAATACAAAATCCACAACAAGTGAGGACTACGTTCCGAAGGAAATCAGTTTTTTCTTTAATGTAAGACCTTCTGCAGTAGACATGAAATGAAAGTGGAATGTTATCACCGACTTCAAGAGTTTGAAGCAGCCCTGGTACCTTACTGTATTGCACGTTGGGGTGTGTGTGTGTGTGTGGTATTAACCACAAGGTCAGCAGTTGGATACCCCCAGCCCCTCCAGAAGAGAAAGATGAGGCTTACAGAGGTACAGTCTCAGATACCCGCAGGGGTGATTCTAACCCTGCCCTGTAGGGCTGCCCTGAGTCACGATGGATTCGATGGCTGCGAGGCTGGTCTCATTGTTTTGGTTTTCAAGGGTTTGGGATGCTTTGGCTTCTGGGAAACTCTCTTCAAACACACAGAAAAACGATTAAAAACAAAACTAAGCTCAAATTTGTTGAGGGTGCAAGGTGATGAGACTCTAAGAAATCCAAGGAGGAGAGGCGGCAAGTGTGTCTTGACTGGAGGCTGTGGGGGAGGCACAGTTCTCTCTCAAAGGCCTGGGCGTCACTTGCCTGAGAGCAGGGAGCTAGGCAAGAACCAGCTGGTGCCTGCACTGGTAATTTAAAGGTTGGTGGTTCAAACCCATCCAGGAGCCTCACAGAAGAAAGGGCTGGCAATGGACTTGTGTCATGACCACAGCCAAGAATCCAGCACAGAGCTCCATTCTACCCCATCACACATGAGGCCACCAGGAGTCGGCATCAACTCAACAGCCACTGCCAATGGGGACGGGGAGCTGAGCCAGGTGACCTGGGTGGTCCTCTGCTTGCAATCCTGGGGGCTGGCGTTGGCCGGCTTCTAGCAGCCGACGGACACTCACAGGTCCCAGCACAGGGCTGATCAGCACGGCGGGGCCCAACATGAACTGGCTGTTGATGTCCCAGGTTGTAACATCCTCTGGAAACCTAACAGGACACAGGAAAAAGCCCGCTGCTGCCACACCTGTTGGGGAGAGCTGCCACTCACCCCTGCCCAGCCCTGTGGTGCGGGGAGAAGGGAGACTCACTCGTGGAGAAGGGACCGGACCACGGTGCTGCCCT